TATTGAATTTCAACATTTTCATCAGGAACCTGATGGTGGTGTGTTGAATGCTGATGTAAATGACTTTAAAGAAGAGGTTGTAGAACCACCAGCCTGAAGTTCAACAGATAGAATGCACACACAAAAATCCAGCTTTTAAAAAGAGTGAAATTACCATTTGTTTCTGCTTGGAAATGAGTTGGGGAATGTCAGTTCTAGAGCACGGGAACCAATCAAGATGGACTAATACGCGAGCGTGACACCGGACATGGAGGAACTTTGAAAAGCTCAACATCAAAAAGCAAAACCCTTTAAACAACATTCCTCCTGGCAGTTGTCTCCTTACCAAATGATTGCCACGGGTCAGAGGCAGGAGCTGCAACTGTGGATCCTCCCCAGGGATCAGTTTGGTTTGCAACAGCGGGAGGTCCCCACGGCTCCGTTTTCGGCGGGGCCGGTGCCGAGGAGGGCAGGGCATCCATCAGGTCCAACAAAGTGGTGTGCTGAGGGCAGGAATAATCTGAGCTTTAATCAAGAGCATTGTCACTCTGAAGTACAAACCCATGAGAGTGAAGAAGCAATTATTTTTATTTTCTTTTTCCTTTTACACACCTGCATTGACTAGTAGTTCGAAATTTAACCCACACGGAAGAAGCTTTAAAGCTACACAACAAAGCAATCCCAAAAGCATACAAGAGCTCAGTATTAAGCTATTTTGTGTTACTGTATTTCAGCTTTTGGCAGCATAACCGGGAGTTTCTTAGTCGAAGGCACTACCTCCTTCTTTTTGGGAATTTTAATTGTGTCTCTGCGACTCTCCTCCAGAGCCATCTGTAATCTCAGATCATCTCCGCGTCTGAGGCGCTCCTCCTGCAAAGGAAATCAACACTGGTGATATAGACCATGAGCCTGCACTGGGCTGCTGCTCCCTCCAGGAATCCAACCCCTGGGCAGGACACCTCCAGGGAAGGCCTGGCCAGCCCTCCCTGCCACCGCTGCTGGGATTATTTGCTAGAATTTGGACATGACTGAGAGAGGGAGAGGAATTTTCTTGCGGTTCTGGCCTCAACCAGAGGTCAGGAGCACCCCGACCCCGGAACACCAGCGGTGTCATCACAATCCAGTTTGCTGACTGACATTTACCCTCGTGTTGTTTTATTCCTGATGGGAATATAAATGCAACATTCTTTCCAAAATTCAGCTTCTAGGTAGAAACACCACAGAACTTCGAGTAAACAGCCCCTTTTTAAATGATCACCATGATTTGGAACCGCTGAAGGTTGTGGGGAACTAAACTCTAATTTCCCTGGCTTTTCTCAGCTTCCCTCCACACTGATACAAGTGTTATAAAGAACACCAAGGGAATCAGTCGAGCCAACTCCCTGTAATTTGAAGGTTTAAACATCTGTAAACTACAGTGTTTGTGGTACATTCAAATACTTTAAATGTCTTTGCTTGCATCACATCTTTCAGAAGTTGACTAATCCCCCAGCTGGTATTTTCCTTGTCATTTTTCAAGCTACTGATTCAACTGATTAGATTCTGATTTATATTTTCTTTCCCTTTATTGCTCAATAATGATAAAGTTTACTGGGTGATAGTTTTCCTTTCCAAGCATAGAGATTCTAATGCTTAACATGCAGCTTAAGCTAAATTGTCACAGGAAACCTCTAAAATATTACACTCAGCAGGGCTGACTTGAATTTTCACTCATAGCTGAGATGCAACTTCGTTATATATTAACATGAAGCAGACTTTATCCACAATTATTTATCTATCATTTACTCCAAATTCAAAATGAACTTCTTAAGAATTAGCACAGTAACATAACTCAGGTGACAGATTAGGAATCAAGTTACTTTAAACCAAGTTCTTTATATATTCTGGTACTTTGTGTCAGGTCACCCTCTTGTTCCAGACACTCTTACCAAACAACCAGACCATTCAAAATTCCACTGGAATCAGAATTCACTGACATTAATGAAGGTTTTCAGGACCAGTCACGCTTCCAGCTCTTCCTAACTGAAAACATCTTCAGTAATGTGCTGATTAACATCCTCCCACACAAAGTCTTCTCGCAAAGTGACTGTCATCTTCCACTAGTCTCAACAGCTCGGAGGCTGGAGTTACTTTTAAAAAAAAAAAAAAAAAAAAAAAAAAAAAAAAAAAAGCAACATCTTCCAAAATGGCCTTTCCACCTGGAGCAAAGCCAAGCTGCCACTGGGAAGGAAAAAAAACCAAACCAGGATTGCAATCTCAACTATCAAAGGCAAAACCTACACGGGCACCGACCTGCTCCGCCACCTCCCGGCTCATGGCCAGCGCCAGCTGCAGCTGCAGCTCCTCCTCCCCGCTCGTCTGAGGCCGGGCCTGCTCGAGCTCCGAGGAAACTCGAGGGGACGTCGCTGTTGGGAGACAAAACCCACCACGTTTAGCACATCAAACACATCAAACAACACAAAACGTGTGGCGCGTTTGATTCCTGCTCTGAGCGGATCCTCCCCCCGCCCCGTTTTCACACGTTCATGTTCCAGGGAGACTGGAGACCTCCAAAAGCTCCCACCACGGCTGAGGGGAACGACAATTCAACAGTCAGTTGGTTTAAAGGACAAATATTCCTGGAAAACAAAGGCTTTAGTGGGGTTGTAACATCAACGAGGACCCCTGGACACCTTGAGAACTTTGGGGGTAGGACACCGACTTAAAAATGCAGAGAATTAATTGTTCAAGAAAACATTTGTTGATATTTCTCACATCTCCCAATGTCACTAAGGATTTGCTGGGAGTTGGCCAATCTCGGGGTAAAACTGGATACCACCCACTTTTCTGTAAAATAATACAGTCCTAATGGGAAGATAAAGAACTATTCTTAACTGCTGAGCAGGCTCAGGGACAAACAAGCCAGCCTTTCATACCCCAAATTTACACAAATACTGTATCATTCTCTGTTAAGAAAGAGTTTGGTCTATGGGTTGGGGGCGTTGTTTGGTTTCTGGTGTTGGTTGGTCTTTTTTTGGAGGAAGATTTCCACTAGCTGAGCTCTAGCTGTGATCTCCCCCACTCCACGAGCAACACTCGAGCTTGACAGCTAAAATATGCAATTTCTCAACATACAAACCATCTTTTCTTGATGTTTTCACCACAGCAACATGCAGAAATTCCCATCCCAATGGGACAACACTAGTAGGTTTAGCACTAGACAGTAACTAAACATTTTTTTGTAGTCACTCTCACAAATAATTCTCTAGCATCAAATCATTCACACAGAAATTTTATCTCAGTTTGGCAAGGAAGTTTGTATTTAATGGTTGGAATGATAATTAGTTTGGCAAAATATACATTGACATTTAATAGAGAGGAATCATGTTTTTAAACTAGCATGGCAAGGTCTAAGAAATCGAGTTTCTTCTTAGCAGGCCAGCTGGGCATGTTTGAGATTGCCAAACTATGTTTTAAAAAGCACTTTTTCATCACTACTTTAATCCTGCAAACACTTCCCAGTCTTGTCTCTCCAAGATGACATTTCAAAACAAGAAGTGCACCTTCCTCTCTCCTCCAACAGGCCTCAAGGCAGGTGACCCTCCCTAAAAAAGGAATGACCTTTCCATCCCACCCCACTCTGTTTCTAAAGGGACACATTAATTTATCCCCCAGAACGATCCCTCCACGTTGTGCTGATCCTGAGGCTCTCAAGCCAACCAGACAAGCTCCTTACTGCAACAGAGATGTTACTCATCCCTCAATTCTATTACTTTTTCAAATGAAATAACTAAATTTAGCCTGTTTGCTCCAACAGTCACAGCCAGGCTCTCTGATATATTATATGGACTATTAAAAACAATATAACTAAAGCACGTGATAATTCCCAGCCAACAGAGGTTAAACATGAGCACTAGTTCTGGTCACTCAAACCCAAGATGGGTGATTTCAAAACCAGAATGGAGGTGGAAACACTTCCCTTCAGAGCATGGAGAATGTTTTATGTGTTTATCTTTGCAAAAGGAAGATTGAGTAGTTTATGGTTGTTAAACATATCAGGCTTGCAAACACCACAGAGCCAGAAAAGCTATTTAAGATAAAGGGGCAAGAACTAATGGTATAAATTAACCATGAATAGATTTAAGAGATAAGTAGAGAAGAGCAGTTTTCCAGCAGGGAATAGAGAAGGAAAGAGTTGTAACTGGTTTAAAAACAGAGCTGGATAAGTGTGGGACAAATGGGACACCAACAGAGTCACCTGAGAGCAGATGGACCTGGACCATGAGCAGGGAGGCACCTCCTGGTCTTCCAGTTTTTCAACTGCAACTGTGGGGGGAAATGGGATTTCCGGCACTTCCCGCAAATCAGCTTTTCCACCTCTGTTGATGTTACTACATTCCATAACAGCTCAGAAGCTGAAGGTACAATGGCTTTAAAATGTTGTGGAATGGGTTCATCCCGTTGATTTTCCTGCCATTTCCACGGGAAGGACTTGCTGAACACACTCACCAGTCGCAGCTTTCAGCAGCTCACGGCCCTTCTGCCCGGAAAAGCTGCAAGGAGCGGGAATTGCATCCCACTGGCCCTCCCCTGGGGGGTCCTCACCTCCCAGCCATGCACAGGAAGGGCTGGATTGCTTTGGCAGGGAGCTCCATGAGCTCACAGCTCCCAGCAGAGCCCAACATCAGCAGCTCCAGGATCTGAACGTGGATAACACGGCGTCTCACGGATATAAATTATTTCTTTTCACTTTCAGGCTTTTCCAGCAATTCATTCTACTTGGTTTCATTAACTCTAAAAGGCACTTGCAAAAAAAAAAAAAAAAAAAGAAAAATGCCCGTTTGAAATTCTTCCTTGGGCCTCATTTGAAAAAAAAAAACCCAAACTATAGGAATGTTGCTATTTTACATCTAAACCTCTGCAGTGTTATAAAATCACCTACATTAAAGAGCTGCCAGCAAATTGTTTGAGAAAGGATTAAGGAAAATTCAAAACACTGTTCCTGGGAGTAACCTGACATGCTTTATGCAGCAACTTCACTCCTATATGGGCCTCATCCTGCATTAAGGTTTGAATTCCCAGGATCCAGCAGAAAGGTTATTGCCTTAGTAACAGGATCGCTGCCACACAAAGCATCCCTTATCCCCCAGCACATGACAGTTAACTCAGATGTTTATGTAAGATGGGACTCAATAGATCAATTCTGACCTGCTAAGCCCTGCTTTGTTGGGAATTTGGAGATCCCAGTCCCTCCAGGCTGCCCAGAAGCAAACTGGTGGGAATCTGCTCCCGCAGGGAGCGACACCACCGGGCTGGGCTGCTCGGCAAGGGAATCATCTCCACCCTCAGTTAATCACTAAAGCAGGATTCTGCTCCACCATCTGTCCCCAGGCCAGGCTCTGCTGTCTTTCAGACACATCTATTGATGATTTCCTATATTTTGGCAATATCAAAAGCCCTCTGTAGATGTCGATAGCTCTGGCTGAGTTGAAGTGAATACACAGGACACGGAAAGCAGAGTCACTGCCTGCATTAGAGACAAAAATCACTCCCAGCACAAGTCAGATTGTGCATTTCCATTCAGAAGGCTGTGCTTGGGTTTTGGGATTGGTTTTGTTATTCCTGGGGTTTTTCTTTTTCTGATCTGCAGGTGGAATTCTGAAGAACAGACTTCTCAGTCACATCTGTTCAGAAAGAAAAGCTGCTTCCTCCCTCAATCAGTGCACCCACAAATGTAGACAAAACCAAGGCTGACTTGAAAAATTAGATTAATATCGAGGTAAGAACTCAGACACCGACAGAAATTCCCTTGGGAACCAAGCAGAGATCCCATTTATTAGTCTTCCAATGAAAGACCACTCAAACAAAGATGGGACCCGTTCAAAAAGCCAATCTAGCCTCTCAAATGATGGGAAGGCATGTGCAAACTGCTCAATCTAGGAGGAGTTGTGTAATCCACCTTTCCACTGGGAATTAAAGAATCTTTCAGACACAAGAGGAGAGTTAATAACACCTCTGAACGTGACAAGGTGGAGCTGCTCAGCCTTCCTGCAGGATTTAACTGTGCTGAGCACACAGAGCACTTCTGAAATTCATTTAACCCTGAACAAATCCTTGAGGTTTGTTTTGGTTTTAGGAGCATTTTCCTCCCAGGTGATCCCTACATCCAGCTCAACAGACAGAGTTGGATCATTTAGTGCCACTACAGAAGCCTGGATACACCAATGGCACTTCCCACCTTCACCAGAAAAAGAAATATATGATGAGAGAATTTAATCAAGTTGTCAAGTGACGTCTGACAGGAGTCTGCCACATTCCTTCAACACCTCAAACTACGGGGATTATCCAAACTGTTCATCCAGATTCATTGCTGGATGATAAGTCATATATTCCCTGACTAAGATGGAAGGGCAGAGATGTGTTCCAACCTGCAAATTGTTAAAAACCTGTAAATGATTAAATAAATAAAAAAACCCAACTTTAAAAAGAGGAGCATTCTGAAATCTGAATGGCACAGGGTGCCCAGAGAAGCTGGGGCTGCCCCATCCCTGCAAGTGTCCAAGGCCAGGGTGGATTAACCTTGGATAGTGGAAGGCAGAGGGTTGGAACTGGATGAGCTTTAAGGTCCCTTCCCCAAACCATTCTGGGATTTTATGAATTTCCTATCATGTCAAACCCCAAACAGCAATTCCTCTGATTTACTTTCTACTCCAAGTAAAAGTGGAGAGGAAGCCAAAACAGATGAGAGAACATAACCTTGCTGAGGCTTCACAAAACTGCTTTTAAATAATGAGTCGACTTAATATCAATAATCACTGGAAACATTAAAAACTCATTAATTCACCTGAAGAAAATTGCTCCCAGAATCTTTACAGGAAAGGTTAACAGACTTGGCATTTCCCAAGATCCATAAAAGGGATCTTCAGCCCATCTTTCACCGATCTTTTCTCAAACAGGCTGTTTGCACAATGAATGTGAGCTGAGCTTAGCTGAGCTGAGCTTAGCTGAGCTGAGCCCACCTCGGGGCAGTGCTGCTCTGAAAGCAGGTCACACGTTTGTGTCGATGAAATCAGGGCATTAAACCCACCCCAGCCTGGCTCTGCCTCCCAAACCCACGGGAGCACATGGACAAAGGGAAGGGTGTGTGGACAACCCAAAATATCACAGGGACATCCTGGCTTGGGCATGACAGGATTGGATCTCTGAATAAGCAGTAAGGTCTCAGTAAACTTGGGTTTAAAACATGACCAGCACTTCCCAGGCTTGAAACATCACCCCAGTTCAGGCTTAAGAGGTCTATATTAAGAACATCCTACTTTTCCCTGTGCAGCCATAAATCCAGAATCCTATTTAAGTGGTCACTGGCAGCTGTAGATGAAACAAGGCCAGGAGCAGGAGGTTGAAGTTTTCAAAACCGGGTGACTGATGTATAAAAGCATAAAGACAATTTTTTAGACACGAAACCACGTTATGAGCGAAGAAATTCTCCTCCAAAAGATTTCGGATATCCACCTTATATTCCTTCCTCTCCCCAGTAGGTTTGGGTTCAGCACCACACAAGAACATTCCTCCACAGTGAAATAAAACCTGACATCAGATTTCCTCCAACTCCAGAGAATTTACACGTTTTCCAAAATAATAAAGAACTATTATGCATTTTGTCATGGCATATTTAACAGCTCCTAATCTGAACATTAATTGCCAACTGGAAGATAAAACCAATTGTTCCCAGTATGTCAGAAATTGTTGACAAGATGAAGGTTGGGAGGAGATTTAATTTCTGTTTTTTTGCTTTAGTATCTCTCTTGGCTTCCACTTACAGGTTATGAGACTAAGTAGCAAAAATACACTAATACTTTCACATGCACACACCATAATGTACTCCCTGGAATTACCCAAGCACTGAGATCTTCAGGGCCAACCAAGTCATTAAGGCAAAGCTTTGGGGGAAAGGATCTTATTAAAAACTCTCACATTTCCCCATTTCACTTTGCACAGTTTCTAAAGGACTGTTAGAGATGAGATGAAAATATCCACAAGGAAATGGGGAGAAATGTCCTTATTTGCCAAGTCTTGCCTGCAGCAGTGAGGGATAATTGTTCAAGAGTCAAGAGATCCTTTTCCATCTGGAACTCTCCCACACTACACAGGCTGGAAGTAATGCTTTTACTTTTTCATAAAGGATAAATTTGGGACACGATGACCAGCAAGTCTTTAAGAAAACCCTTTCTGGCTCAGCATCAAGTACAAAATCCAGCTGTTGGATTCAAACCCACAGGTGTAAAGAGGCTGGGAAGGGCAGGAGTGTGAGCACTGCAGTGTTCAGCCTGTGCAGTGCAGCTCATTCAACATTCTGAGCAAACCAAACCAAAAAGGGGCCACTGACTTATCCAATATTGCACTTTTAGGAAGTGACAGAAAGGGAAGAGATCCCTCAGGCACAATCCAGCACAGTATCCACTGCAAGTTCTTGTTCCCCCAATGATCTGTCCTGGAGGGACTACCCAGCTCTTTCAGTCAGCTCAGGCTTCATTTCTTCTGCAAGAAAGCATCAAAAATCAGATTTTATAGCCCAACATCATCTCTTCAAGCAAGGGGAATGCATTCCCAAAATCTGCAATCCCCACTAAAGAGGAACAAAAGTAAAATGTGCTGATGTCAAAACCACTGAGAGACAAAATATTTCATTTAGTGATGTTGGCAAAAAGGCTGTTAACTCTCCCAAACTTTACTGATATTTGACTGTTAAGAAGACATGTGATATATTTTTCAGCAAAGAGGAGGGATGTACATTTTTAAGAGGCAAACCTCACGCTACAGATTGCAAATCTAAATGTCTCTGATCTCCTCTTCAAAGGCTCAGAGGAATGAAAGAGAATTCTGCCAGAATATACAGTGCAGCAACCACATCTTCGAGCTGCTACAAGGAGAATATTTCCCAGGAGCCAAGCATAACTTAATTCCTTTCACATATTTCACTGAATCCATCTTTTCAGAACAAAAGGAGGTTATCATTTAAAAAAATAAAACAGGATGCATACAATCTCTTCCACTTTAAATAATGAAAAGCATCTTTTCCATCAAATTTAGAAGGCACAGGAATGACCCTACATTTATGTAACAGATTAAATGTCTGGATTTTAATGAAACTCCTTCCTCGTTTCCTGGGATAAAGTTGTTTTTTTCCAATATCAGATTTTCTAAAATCTAAAGATTTTCCAACACCAGGAGTATTTAAGCCCAGCTGTTCTGAAAGGTGCTGGCTTGCTTTGCTATGCTCAATTAAACCTGACAAAAACACATTACAACTTCAAAATATAAAAAACCAACAGCCATCTGTATTTGGGCTGATCCACTGTGAGAAGTCCAGGAGAGGCCACAACCCAGGAAGAAAAAAAAAAAAAAAGCCTGAGATTTCTAAAGCTTCTTAGGTCTGTGCTCAGGGAGGGAGGAGGAAGGAAAGCTTAAGAAATCATTACCTCAAAAGCAATCCTGCCACGGGAGACACACACAGGGAAATGGGAGCATCCACTAAATCCACATTTGGACTGAAAGAACAGCCAAATTTGCTGCTTCTCCCAAGGAACAATCCAGGAACACACCCTGCATTGCTCAGCCCTGCCGGGAGGAATAGTTTGGAGCCTCTGGTAGCATTTAACGTGCCAAACAATAGTTCCAGGCACTAATTAGAGGCAGGAGCTGGTGAAACAATAACCCTGTGGAACCCAAGGTGTGCTCAGCAGAACTCAGTCACTATTATTTAGTCCATCAGCCCAAGTTAAAAACAGTATTTCAAGCTATATCCTAAATTAAGAATTTTTGCTGCAGTCAACAGTGATCTACAGACTTCAAAAGAAAAAAAAATGTTATTGTTGTGGTAACAATATATATGATGTGCTTTAAAAAGTCACACTGAAACAATGCTCTGGTGTGGTTACTATAAAAAACCTATGTACCTATAGAAAATACGAACAGGCAGAAATATGATTATTACACAAAAACCAAGAGGTTTGTTATCCAGCTCCTAATTAAAAGATTAAAAAAACCTCATACCTGAAAGTCTTCATGCCCATTATTTGCAAAACACTTCTTTTTGGAAATAATTTTTCCTGCTCATCTCCATAGCTTTAAATGGACAGATTTAGTTTGATTTTCCTGCCACCTCCTCCTGCCTTCCCCAGGAAGTGTTTGCACACTCACATATTTCTGATTTGAGCAGCACTTTGGGACCCAGGACATGACAAACTTCAGATTCCTAGAACTGGTGCTCAGTGGATTCTCCACCCTGGCTGGGTTACAGCCCTCCACACACCCTAAACATTCATTTAAAGAGAAGATTTTCCTTCAGAATTAGACCACAACCACTGACATTCCAGCCAAAGCAGCTTTCATCAGATCATTACTTACATTAAGGAGGATTTAGTGCCAAATCAGGCCTCTTCCTGACATGACAGGGAGTTCCCCCCAAGCAGTGGCAGAAAGAATTTGTTCTTCCCACATCATTGTATTAATTTTTAAAGAATGAAATATAGTATTTAGTAGAGATACTTACACACCAAAGACAGAGAGTATAAATATTTAAATACAGACAAATTCAAAGCATTACTACTCCAAGAACTGCTGAGTAAGCAATAAAGGAAATTAAACAGCAGCACTCTTGCCAAAGTACAATAGCAGCAGCATAAAGTAGCAAAATGATCCAGGAAATATTCTGTATTTCTAATTTTTTCTTGAATTCAAGACCAGGTTGGACGGGGCTTGGAGCAACCTGGGCTAGTGGGAGGTGCCCTTGCCCATGGCAGGGGGTGGAATGGGATGAGCTTTAAGGTCCTTCCACCCCAAATCATTCTATGAGTCCATGAATTACACTTCACAAAAAGAATGAATTCCCGAGGAAAAAAACAGGAAAAATCCATTCCCAATCTCCCCACCACATCAAACCCTGGAGCATGTTCCCAAAAGCAGCCTGACAGTGCTACCTTTGGGGACTGCCAGGGAACAACTGCTTCTGAAATGAAGTCAGTACACACATCCCCTCCAAACCAAACATTTAACCAGGCAGGGGAGGAGACAGTAATGCCACGGAGCAGATCCACAAAGGCAGCACAACCAGAACCACAGAACATTCTGAGCTGGAAGGGACCCACAGGGATCACTGAGTCCAACTCAACTGAATCCCATAAAGGGACTGAGCCCAAAGCTGAACACCAACTTTGATGTTATTGGCACCATGTTCCCACCAACTGAGCTACCTCAGGTTCACCCTCTCCTCCAACAGCAAATCTGGATGCAAAATCTCTCAAAAGAAAAGGAAGAGGAACTTCTCCTGTGTGTTTGCCTGTACTTACAGCCATGGTAAGAGGCTGGGGATCCTCCAGACTTTCCATACTCCTGCTCTGAGTAGCTGGTGGACAGGTTGGGCTGACTGGAGCCTCGGCCAAAGGTGATCTGGTTGCTGCCCACTCCAGTGGCCACCTGGGCCATGCGTTCTTTGGTCTTCAGGGCCTGGGCCCTCTCCGTCTTGAGCCGCTCGTCGTCCTTCAGGAGCGACACCAGCTGCTTGGACTTCTCCCTCACGTTGATGCCCTGGTCTTTGCCATCTCGATCGATGTACTGGAAATCTTTCAACGTCTGGATGGCAAAAATGTTCTCCTTACACTGCTGGGCCACCCTCTCGGAGCCGGTTTTGATCAGGTAATCTAAGAGCGTCAGGGCCTTGTACACGTGTCGCCAGTTCTTGCCGTGGTCGTTGAGCCGTTTCCAGATCATGCTCATAATTTCAGAAAAGGCCACAACATTGTAAGTCAGATCTGCTATTTCAGTCATTAACGAACTGGAAGGACCCCAGGGGTCATTAGAGGTCGCTTCCCGAACTTTTATTTCGGCCTCTGAGTAATTGTTCACAATGTTCTTCATCTGCCGTCTGATAGACGAAGTCGTCATTTTTAGTTCCCTTCTTGCCCGGGCAGGTTGCAGAACACAAACAGAAAAGGGCTAAATTTGCTCCTCTATGAACGTTTCTGAACTGCAAAGGCTCCGTATCAGTGGCTTATTTGTAACACGTTCCACTACAACCATTTCCTCTCTTCAAGAGAATGACACGAGAAAATGAAAATCACGACCTGAGTGAGGAAAGAAAACAAAGCACATTAGTGTTCCTGCACAGCCAACAATCTGCATCCACTTGGGACAAATTTCCTAGAGCGAACTGATGAATTTTCTCCCTGAATTTCTTCTCGTTTTGAAAGCAACTTGCTCTTCTCATGAGTAACATTAAACATTTAAGATTAAAAACGTGAAGCGCCGAGCAAAACAAAAGTGAGAAGACGACCGTGCTGATGGAACAGCCAAATTTTAAAATCAAACCAAAGTCCAAGAAATTACGGGTTTAGTTTCCAAAGTAAAAACCCAGAATTTTTAATGACAGTGCCCACAGAGCTGAGATCAAACCACGTCAGAAATTCCGTGTTTAGCAGCTTCTCTCTAACACTGACAACTGCTCCCATTCCTGCAGGAATCTGAACTGAGGGAACGAGCAAAATTCCTAAAAATTACCCATTTCTGAAACCCCAGGTAAGTTTAAACCCACTCAGAGATCCTGAGGCCCAGGGAGGAGACCTGAGTCCCAGAACAACACACTCCAACTCAAGGTGACCTTTGATGATAAGCAGATTAGAAGGGAATTTTTTTTTTTCCCAAATGCATTTATTTTGTACATTTGACAACACTTGTCAGACCCACAGTTTCTGCTCTGTGTTTCTGCTCACAGCACAGAAGGATTTTTAATTATTTGAGAATGGAACTGTAAAGCCAAAATGATTGGCAAGAAAACCCAAGGACAAGCTCTGGAGCTGGAAAGCTGTGTCAGTTCTTCAGTTAAGGTCACTGTTTCAAGTAAACAGAGGCCTATTAAGCTTTAGAATAAATTACTTGAGCAAACTGGCAGATTTTGCTGTTCCATTAACACAGAACAGCCCCTGATATTCACCAGTTGCACAACACTGAGCAAGGACTCTGCAACCAAACTCACATGAACAGAGCTGCCCATTCCAGATGTCCTCTAATGTTTCTCCAAACACTCCAAAAAAACCAACCCTATCCCTTACAAAGACACTGGAGAGAAGTGAAGCACAGATGTCAAGCCTGGAATTGTTATCATTCTTCAAATGACGATGGTGCCATTTGGAATGCGAGCAGAATTCAGTGTCAACGCAGCTCCAGGAGGATTTATTTTAGCATTAAGACATATTCCCTTCCCAGAAAACCATTCTGGGCAAGTTCAACCACCACAGAACAACTCCAATGAGTTACTGTATTTTATCTTGTTCCACTGAGGTTAATTTTTGGCAGATTAAAAACTCCTATGACATCAAGGAAGATGAACTTTAAATGAGATCAACACTAAACTTCAGGTAAATGGCATCGCCCTGGTGTTTCCCCCAGTATTTGGAACCAGCTGTAGGAGAGTGTTGGTGTGTTGGCAGATGGCTGGTGGCAACAGGAATAAAAAGGGGCATCTTCTGGGGCATTTAGAGGTTTGTGCACTATAAACATACATAAACATGCCATTTACAAAGTTAACATTGCCCAAATTATCACCTGCCCCTGCGATGACTCTCTAATGCACGACATGCAAAAGGCAGGGCAACAGTAAGAAAAAATAAAAAAAATAAATTTTATAAAGCCCACAACACACATCTTATTTATCCTAAACCATTTCTTCATGTCAATAATGGGTAAGGCAAGTTCACAGCCAAAGCAGAAACCAGGTATCCAGGGGCATCTGGATGGTCACACAGAACCAGGAGCTGGTTGCAGGCAGGAACTTCTTCAGCTGGTAAAAGTGGAGCCAGCAGAGGATCCGAGTGCCAGGCACATCACAATCACAATTCCAACGGTTATACAGATCCCAGAGAAGAAGAATCCAGCCCCCCACAAGGACTGAGCTTGCCATCCAACCAGAAAAGCAGTAAATAACATGAAAAATCAAAACCAGGAGGACTAGAGAGCAAGATAAGTCCACCAAGGCTAAAATCCTCCAACACAAATCTCTGTGTAAAGTCCATGTGCCTTTTGGGAATTGTGCCTCTGCTCCTGCAGATGAACTCGGGGTCCTTTCTTCTCCCTGTGCATTTTTCATCCGCTACTTTATCCCTCAGCAGGTCTCGACCTTTCATCCTTCTTTTCAATTCAAATTCATTTCAAATCCGAGTGATTTGCTTCGATTTGCCCACCTTATTTAGGAACAATCTGGAAAAGGGAATCTTTGCAAGAGCACTGATCTTTAGCAGGACACTTGGCTGGGAACAGCCCTTCCCTGTGAGAACCAACCATTTGCTCCTAACCCCGTTTCCTGTCTCTTAACCCGCTGTAAATCTATGAAAAAAACATTCCTGTCTTGTGAGAGTTTTATTCTTCAAGGCCAGGGACGAGAGGCCTTATTTTGACAAGTACATATAGGAGCAAGCACCTCACCTGTGTATCTCCCAAGAAAAAAAAAAAAGCAGAGGATTTTATTACTTTACAACTTTGTTTAAGCTTTGGGAAAAAATCATTTTAACACCTCACATGTAAATCCCTGAAGAATTAATCACCCTCTCAACACAAGCAGGGGCAGAGACCATCAGGGCTCAGTCTCACACGCCAAGCTGAACCTCCAAACCCTGTGACTGCTCCCCCTTTCTCCCTCTTGCACCAAATCCAGCCATTTTTACACAGCAGCACAGTGAAAAGATTCAATCTAAAGTCTCCCAAGCTTTGCTGCACAGCAGCCTGTGAGAAGAGTAAGAAAGATCCAACCCTGGCCTCACTTTTGGAGCTGATTAAATGCAGCATAAAGCTGTCAAGGTCCAAAAAACAGCCCCAGAAAGAAGAGCTTTCATTCCTTCCCAACTGTGCCCCAGTAGGAAACCAGGCATCTGGTTTCAGAGGAGAAACCAAGGGAAGAAAGGCAGGACCCTGAACTGGAAGCTTTTCTAGTGTGAAGCTTCTGAAGGTGGCTACTAGTAGAGAGTAAGTCTGGAGTAGGGCTTTGGAAGAACAATCAGAGCAAACATTTCCAGAAGAGAACACACTGGATTAAGTGAAACGAGCCATTTTCACTCTTTCAGGAAATAAAATAGTTCACTTGTTGTTCAGTAACAGCTCTGAAACCATCAATCCATCGACGGTGCCATGATCCTTCACCTTCATATTTCTGAATCATGAAAACAAAGGCATTTAATGAGAGCCACATTCATGGCTGGGTTTTTTCCTCTTCTTGATGGGCATGTTTTAATCTTACTCTACTCCTAAGCCACTAAGGTCAACTTACTCTAAACTTCATTTTACTCTGGTGAAAGCACAAAGGATGACTGGAGTGGGAAGCTGATGGGCTTGTTATTCCTCTCTAGTGGTAGTTGCACCAATATTCCAGGTAACTGCTTGGCAGTGGCAGTGACCCTACTCAGGAGCCCTGTGAGCCTTTTGCTACCTGCTTTACACACTCCCTGCTTCCTCACCACACATGGGAGGCATTTTGCTTGACTATCACAAGTCTTGAAGCCCCACAAGTGCCTCTTTTATCATTAAAGAGATCAAAAAGCCAAACATCCCGACTGCACCAAACAGGAACCGTTTCCAATGCACAATCAAACACTGACACAGAAAGTTTAGATGATTTTTTTTTTCCCAGAAACCTCGGTGAATTGAGTTCTCACAACAAACCACAAGGAAGCACAATGCACTTGCAACTTCAGCAAAAATGTGAGTTTGCATTTTTAACGGGAGAGTTGCAAAGAAAGCAGAAAGTTAAGACCAGCTGATTAAAGCTGCTGCTCCTTCCCAACAGGAAAAAGGCCTGTTGAGCTTGACAAGGTTTCCGTGGAAGGTTAAAGGGAGAGGGGAAGAGGGAGCCTTCCTTGTTTTGTCTCTTGGTCCCTACAAAGCCATTTTCTCTGCTTTTTAAGTAGCTTGTCATCTTCAAATAGAGAAGGAACCAGGTCTGTAGATGACAAGGTGAAGCTCACTGTGCTTCCAAGGGTAACCTGGAGGGGGACATCCCGTTTCTTTTCCCCATTCCAACAGTTCCATTACACAATGAGTTCTCCTGGTGCTTTTCTCCACACAATATGCAGACAGAAGGAATTCCTGACTGAACTTCTCGACATCTCTCTATCTCACAAGAGATTAAACTCAGTAAATGAAATCTAGAAGAGGAAACATCTTGGACTTGCTGAGACTAACCCAGAAATGGGGCCAAGCCACAAAGTCCTTAATAAATGTAGTTCAAAGAAAAACAGCCACACAAATCCACCTATAGACAGGCTTCCAGCAGAATCCATTCACACCTCTGGAATGTAAAACTCCAACCAGGGTTTGTCTGCACTGATATCTGCCCTCCACATCAGTCTGAAGGTAAATATATACATAATCCAGCTAAGCACGGATCAGAAATATATAAAAAGCCTTTAATATCAAGTGTGAAAATTAACATTAAACACAGGAAGTTCACCAGGCACTTGCATAAAATCTTAATTAACAGTACTAAAAACAACATATATAGTTAGATTAGACATTTACTGTAAGTAACATGCATAAAAAGTGAGGATTTGAAAACGAGTATTATTTCAGTCAATGTGTGATCTGTCTCTACAGACATCAATCTACATAACGATATCCCTGCCTTCCTGCTTCATCTCTCAGGGGAAATACACATAAATACCTAGAGATCTGCTCTCCTTGCTATCAGGCTGGAATGAGAGGCAGGTGATCCCCAGGGACCTGGATTCCAGGATAAATCAGATTCTCGCCAGTCTGCAAAGAGAAGGAGCTGCCAGATGCTGAGCAGGGAAGAAGCTCCCCCAGACAGACACCGACAGCACACCTGCACACACTCAAACACAACCCCAACCCCAACAGGGAGCCAGCTCCTATTTATGGCAAAGAAGAAGGATTCCCGTTGCCTGACGCTAAATTCACATCCCTGTTTTCTTGGCACAGCTCGTTATGTGCACAAATCCAAGCCCACTGTGGTTTAGAAAGTCTCGTTTTCCACAGACAGGTCAGAAATTCAGGATAAAGAAAAACTGAGCACAAACCTTCATATAAAAATCGGGACTGTAATCCAGAAAAAAATCACAGC